AGGCTTTAAAAACTTGCCTGTGTGCGAAGGCTTGGGGCTCATAATGTGTTAGGGACCCATTCCTTGGCTTTACATTTAATTGGTTGTGGGTTAACCAAAATAGTTGTTTAACTCTCTTGGCTGCTGTATGTATTTATTCTTTGGATTGTTTGTATTGTTTTTAATTGTTTTACAGTTTTATAATTGTAAGTTGCCCAGACATTAGGCCGAGATGGGCAGCTATACAAATTAAATAAATAAATAAATACTTTTAATTGCTATTTCTTGTCCTAATTATGTAGTTGAACAGACCAGAGATATGGTGGGTTAAAAATCAAATAATGAAATATCGGTACTGAACTCCATAATCACTTTTCCAGCTCTATGTTCCACTCAGTGGCAATGGTGGGCTCTAGAGACAGCAGATTGCAGGTTCTCCCTATAGCAAAAAGTATCAGTGCACAATTTTATTTGCACACTCTAGAATAACAGATAGGGGAAGGACAATTAATGAATGCAGGAAGAACTGCAATCAGCAATAGCAGAAAGGTGGCCTGAGATTTGGAGGCAGTGGTCTCACAAGATTCAGAAGGCAGGATAGGCCAGCTGGGGCATGAGTTAGGCCTTTGGGATTTCCCATTCCTTACATGCAGAACATTTTTAACCTGCCAAGTACTCAAATTAATATTCCAGAGGCCTTGGTAAATGCCTTTTCCCCTGCTGCATGTCAGGCCTAGCAGAAAGTGCTTTTCATTTTAGTTCTGATTTCTGATAGAGCAAAAGAGTTTGATCGGTTTTTCTGCTGTGATCAGAGTAAGTCTGAAATACATAGTTAATCTCCCTGCTGATATGGTTATTGTTAATATCTGGTTTATTTCTTTAAATTATTTTATGGTTTACATGCTAAAAGTAATATGATATTAGTACAAGTAGTCCTTAATATACAACTATAATAAGGTCTGTCCATTACGGTTGTATGCCATAATGGCTGTAATGGCTGTTTTATGGTCGTTTTTAATTGTTAAGTAAAGTGGCAGCCCTGAGGGGTTTTACCAAAAAACCAGAAGTGCCAGTTTTCTGCAAAACCAGCACAAAATTGTGGAACATCTTGCCCTCAGAGGTGAGGAAAGCCCCCAGTCTTTTGGCCTTCTGCAATGGGGCCAAAACGTGGGTATGTAGCTTTGCATGGGGGACACAGGGGCCCAACCAGTCCTTGGACTAGTTGGCCCTGTGAAAATTTTCCCCCACTCACACCCCTATATTAACAACTTCATGGTCGCCGTTTAGGAACTCTCCCTCATTTGCAATTTTATAATGCTGTTTTACATTTTAAAAAACATTAATTTTGAATTATTTGGTTTTAATGTTTTATTGATTAAATAAATTGGGTTGGTCAATTAACCCTTAACAAAGGGATTACTTCCCTCGCCCCAAGTAGTTGAACATATCTAAATTCCTGTTGACAGGAATGAGCTGCATGTAGTTTTGGTGAAATAACTTCATTAGGTAGATAATTGACTAATTTGCTCCTGTTTTGGTTCTTCTTATGCCTTCTTTACATTCATGTTCCTTTATTTTTGTTAAACAGAAATGGCTTCTAGCAACTACTGAAATAGCAAATATTCTTTTTCTTAACATTTCCTTTCATTCTATATTAGTTTGCCATCTTTTGAACAGAAGATAGCAAGCCTGGGGCTAGCAACAGCTTATACTAGTCTCTAAATCTTGCCTCATTTAGTTTTTAAACTACAGCATTATCGGATTCCTTATGGCTTTGTATCTTGTATGAAACCAGCCACTATGGTTTGGAAATTAAGGGCTTGGCATTTATGGTATGAAGTCAACATACAATGGTTGTTCATTAAGGTAAACAAAACTCACTGTGCAAAAACCCTGTTCATTTATTTCATTTCAGTCAGTTACTCCCATCTTGATCAGGTCCTCCTAATTCTCATCACCTGGTTTTTGTAGAGTGATAGAGGTTGTCTGGGGTTCTGAAACACCAGCCAAGATAGCAAGACCTTTTCTGATCTTGCTACATGATATCTACCTTAGCCAGGTCATGCTACAATCACAGGAGTCCCCCATGGCAAGACTCTCCCCTAAAACACTAACATAGAAGGAGAGACAGATATATTGATTTGGGTCATTTAATCCAAATCCCAGGTAAAGAAACTATCATAAGCAACTAACTTCAATCCTAAAAACATGCTTTGCAGTTCAGAAATACGTTTTGCAACAGCATAATCATTCATTTGTGCTCACTAGCCAATTTAACGATAATGGCACTCAGATAATGGCCATATTCTATGACTACACCCATTCCATTCCAAAAAGGAAATGAAACATCCTTCCCAGTTTGCTACTATTTTCATCTGACATACATTACCAAACTGTTTGGCCCCAAATCACATGCAGAACACAAGCCAATTTTGATATAATTGTCTGCAGGGAGACCTGCTGGCAGGGAAGGAACATCTTGGGATGACATTTCCATACTGTCTAAACTGCAATCTTTATGTTAAAAATGCAATAAATTAAACAAAGCATGGATTGATTACCCGTTACTTGTGGCTAGAAGAAGGCAACATGTATTTTGCATGAACATGTTAATAATACACAGAAATTCAAAACTGGTAACTGGTCCTGGGTCTAACACAGCTGTGTAAGGCAGGGTTTGGGGAGAGGGCCTGAAAAAGAAAGGCCTAGTGGCCCTTTCACACTAAAGACTGCCAGAGGAGCTATAAGTTTCTCTCAAGTTTCAGAACTTTACCAGGGAAGCACAATAAATATCTATGCCAGCATGCCATTTATCATACTACAGGTAGTCCTTGACTTGTAACAATTCATTTAGTGACTATTCAAAGGTAAAATTGCACTGAAAAAAGTGACTTAGGGCTGTTTTTCACACTTACGACCTTCGCAGCATCCCCATGATCATGTGATCGAGATTCAGATGCTTAGCAACTGGTTAATACTTATGGCGTTGCTGTGTCCCAAGGACATGTGATCACCTTTTGCAACCTTTTCATGAACAAAGTCAATGGGGAAGAGCCAGCTTCACTTAACAACTATGGCAGGAGAGGTCATAAAATGGGGCAAATCTCACTTAACAAATGTCTCACTTAACAGCAGAAATGTTGGGCTCAATTGTGGTCGTAAGTCCAGGACTACCTTAAGCACTTTGAGTCTTCCCCTATCTCCTTTGCTACCACATTTGCTACTTTGCCTTTGAATGAAAGATGAAGTTCTGATAAGACTTCCAACATATGATTTCAAATTTTAAGAAAACCAAGTTGTTTATGAGAGTTAGAAAACATCAATTAGAAACATGAATCAAAAGTTCATGCTACTGATTGTGCAAACACGGTTGCAACGGCCTTCCTGCTACCTCTTCCCCCCAAATCTCTTCCTTTCCTAAGTTTCATATACTGACAGTTTTCCACAGAGTAGTTACTTTCCACTACATCACTTGTAAGTGAGTGGTCTCTCTCTCTCTTTCTCTCCTTCTCTTCCCTCCTAATAAGCATGTACCTTATTTAACTTTACCAGTGACAACTCAGGAGAAATGGAAACTTCTGTCACAACCAATATTGCTTTGTCATCCTGCACTGCCCCAAAACATCACTCCCCAAAGCCAAAAATGTACCCCACAGAATATCACCACAACAGTGGTGGGATTCAAAAAATTTTTACTACCGGTTTTATTACGTGGCTTGGTGGGTGTGGTGTGGCTTGGTGGGCATGGCAGGGGAAGGATACTATAAAATCTCCATTCCCTTCCCACTCCTGGAGGAAGGTTACTGCAAAATCCCATTCCCTCCCAACCCCACTATCCTGCTTTCCAGCTCCGCTCTCCTGTGCACGGCAACAAAAGAAGACCCAGCTGATCAGCTGAGACTCGGGAGGCAGAGAATAGATGGGGGAAGGGCCAGTCAGAGGTGGTATTTTCCAGTTCTGCAAACTACTCAAAATTTCTGCTACCAGTTCTCCAGAACTGGTCAGAACCTATGCACCACAAGAGCAGCAATTTTAAATTTTAAAGGAATTATTCTCCTAAACAGACTAACATCCAGAAGAACATTATTACGTGGCTTCAGAGAAGAAAACACCTCATGTTAATAACCTTGTATCAGCTGTCCCAGAGAGGACAGTTATAGTTGCAGTAAATAAATATATCTGCCCTAAAATATTCCTTCATCTCTCTATCCTGGCATCTTCAGAATGAAAAAAAGTCTCCACATTCAATAGTGTTTGCTACACAGGGTCTTAATTCTTCAATCTAGGCTTCTCCTTTACAAGGCGCTGTCTGCAGTCAAGGGTTTGAGTGCTTAAGACATGCCTGCAGGTTTGAAAGCTGAGTGTCTTCTCTTGTCATCACAATTTGAATTATGAAAAACAAAAGATCAAGAACTATTTCTTATAATAGCAGGAAAAAAAAATACAAATTTAAGCAATACTTCAAGACTACAAATCACCAAATAAGAGCAGGCTTTTAAACAAGTAAAAAGAGAGCGAGCGAGCAGGTGGATGTCTGTTAACTGGGCAATAAAATAGACAATCATAGACAAGCAGTATTGGACAAACAAAAGAGGAAGGAAAATGGTTAGATGTTTAAAAAATGAAGATGGCAGGCATGGTCCTGAGACTGCAGATTTAGAAGGATCAGTCTCAGCTAAGTGGCAAGTTCTTAGGACTACCTTTCAGACAGCTGAAAGAATTGGCTTCTATTTTGGGGGATATATTACCAGTTATTAGTCATATCTGTCTTTATTCCTCCTAAAATAAATTATCACTCACATTCAGCTGACAAAGCAACAGCATTTGCACCTTCCACTCCTGCTTCAGCACACCTCCATTTGGATTTAGCAGCTAACTTTTCCCAACTTTCTATCATTGCTCTTAGGAGGGCTTCCCAAAAACACAAGACAACTCAACCCCAGACAGGTCAACCAGCTGCCCTGAAAACGTGCATTCCCACCAACCTTCCATGTGCAAGCAGCAATGTGAGTGCAGCTGACCTGTCAGAGACACAATCTGCCCTCCGGCTGTAGATGGAAATCGGAAGACTGTCTGTTGTGCCTGCTGTAGCTGTCCAGGTATGCCTACGACCGCCGCCTGGCCCTGCTGGTTGGAGAGGGCCAGCGAGTGCGGCTGTAACTGAGTGAGAGGAATGGTAGGGGTCCCAGGAGGGAGTGGAGCACCTGCTGGAAGGAGGGAGAAAAAAAGTCTTTTTTTATCAGGGCCAGGTGTTTTTAAAATCTCCTTCATTCCTTCTTGGATTCTTGTTAATCTCTCTCCTCCCAGATTATCATCATATGCAGCCTTCTCCAACCTTGTGCCTTCAGTTGAGCTGTGAACTATGAGTTCCAGAATTCCGAGTGGAATTCTGGAAGATGGAATATCCAGTTGAGGGAGGCTGCCATTCATCTTTCATGGGAGGAAGAGGAGGGAAGGCACTGACCAAGCTCCATGTCCCACTTCCAAACCCTACAATTCTCACAATCAGAAATGTCAAAGTGGGACCTTTCCATTTCCTCAAAGGAACGAGGAGGCTGGCAGCAGAGACAGCAACACTACCATTTCCCTAAAACTTCCTGTTCTCCTGGTAGAACCTGTCCCTTGACCAGCTATTATTCTGGCCTCAGCCATATTCCTTCATGAAACCATCATATTTAAGAGAATACAGTTTTGGCATTTCCATTCCAGCCTCTCACAAGTCAAAAAATGGCGAAGGCCGAACATGATCAGTGTAATTGCAGAAGAATCAGCAGCTATTGCAAAAATGCTTCAACTGGCAAAAGAGAAACTGACCTGACATGAGGGTAAAGCCGGTAGGTATCTGCATGAGTCCTCCAGAGGCCACTGCGCTGGTTCCAGTGGTTTTCAGTACTGTTCCGTTGGCACTGGTGACTGTACTGGGGCTCACACTGGCAGAGACTGGTGCTAAGTAGTTAGTAATGGGGAACGAGGGTCCGCTGCTGACCTGCATGGATGTGGATGTCGTGGGTGCTGTCTGGATGGTGGACGTCGTCCCTGGGAGGTTGGTGACAGTGAATGCTGGCTTCAATGAGTCCTGCAAAAGAAGCACAAGTAGGAAGAGCCAAGCCGAAACAGAGTACACTGCCCAGAGCTGAATAGAGCCTTTTCTCTTCTGACTATCTGGCAGTATCTACATCTAAATGTTAAAGGTAACATGTATAGGTCAATAAGCTCTCAAAATCACCATACTACTCCACATGTGGTTGGATTTAATTCCTATTGCCCTGTCTACTCCCAGGCTACTGGTATAGACCACTATTTTTCAAACTTGGCTGCCTTTTAAGAAGTGTAGCGTTCAACACCCAGAGTACCCCAGCCAGCCATAAAAGAAACTCCTGAAAAGTATTTCAAAATATTACTAATGGCAGATCAATATTTCAGTGCCAGGTTATCAAGAAAAACGGCAATTAGCCCTTGATTTACATAGCCTGGAAAAAGTAATTCAAACAACTCACAAACATCCCACTCAAATGAATTCACTCATAAATAAGGGCAGGAGTTTTACTCAATCATTTTCCAAGACTCAGGATGCTAACCCCTTATTCTTTAACACTAAGCCATTATTAATGCAATTCCATGTCCCTGGCCATGGTCTCTTATTCTGAATTTAACAAATTGAAATAGTATCCAAAAACAGCTGGTGGATCCCCGCCTTCCCTTCTCCCCATTTTAAACCAAGGATATTCATTCTTCTTTGATATTTCACAATGGTTGAGTCCCATCAGCAGTCTGAGTAGCTTACCAAACACTTTCTTGGGGAGGCAACAAAAGGCCTAAACAAGATACATATTCAGTCTGTTCAGGCAGGCCTAGTTTATGCTAAACCTGAGACCCAATGGCAGCAAGGACCCTGACCAGATAAATTATTTTTTTCTTAACATTTCACTTGGACATGCTTCCTATAACTTAAGTCCATGATTCTATATCCTGTCTTCTAGGAATAACATAGATTGTGTCTTTCTATATGACACCACTTCAAAAGTGTTCTCATATCCCCCTGGAGTCTTTTTTTTCAAGGCTAAACATGCCCATTTCTCTCAATCTCTTGTCAAAGAATCATTTTTCTGTCTTTTAAGAATGTTTGTTGTCCTTCTCTTAATGCCTTTCAAGTTGTCTGAATCCTTCTTAAATTATGGTACCCAGAACCCTAATGCATTGCTCAAGATTTACCTGGTGAAGGCATCTTAGATGATGCAATCTTTTCATATTGATCTCTCAAATATATTAGAGAAGAGAAGAGAAGAGAAGAGAAGAGAAGAGAAGAGAAGAGAAGAGAAGAGAAGAGAAGAGAAGAGA